AGGACTGCTCAAAATAGAGGGAAAAAGAAATTTGTTTTTGAATTTTTTTAAATTTCGGACATCTGGATTGCTAACCCCCCCCCCTATGTCCGAGTTTGTCCTGATTTTCCAAACCCCCCTCCCCCCCGGCTCGGACATCCTTTGTGAATGGCCCCTTTCACGAAAATCTGCCCCCTTTGCCTTCACATCGTTCCGGCGTCCCTGGTATTACTATTAATCTGTCTGCGTTAATACTTAATCGTGCACTGATGACCATTTTACTCTGCCTAACAAACAGACGATTTGGCATTCCGTCTTATAAAGGATGATTTTATACTCCGTCTAATGGAATGATTTTATGCGAGCCATGCTCACGATTTCCCCTGTGCGAGACTAGTACTTTTTAGATAATATGGCTTAAATTGGTTTTTGTATCCAAAATTGCGTTGCAAGTTGCAATCAAATATTGCCACTAAAACATCAGTTTCAAAATCCTGCAACTTTCTTCGTGTTCTACAGTACATTTGTCGGAGGTGATTTGTGTGCTTGATTTAATTGAGGCAAATACTGCTCGCGGTCTAAAGCCGGTTTTCCACTAGGCGGAATTTTGCGCGTGGAGCGGAATTTTTCTTTGTCTTGTGATTTCTCGGGTGGAACTAATATTTAGAAAAGACAAAGAAAAATTCCGCTCCGCGCGCAAAATTCCGCCTATAGTGGAAAACAGGCTTAAGGCATATTTCCACTCCAGAAAATTTCCGCACAAAGAAAATTTTGTAAAATGTGATTGGCCGACACAATTAATTCAAATTCTCCGTCGGAAATAAAATTTTGAAGTTGAAAATTTTCAACTTTTATAAACAGTGAAATTTTTGGAAAATTTTTTGTCGGTGGAAATGGGCCTCGACACAGTACAAGTATATACAACTCAAGTTGTAGGCACGTTGCATGCGACAGTTTTAGGCTGTTTGGAAACGGACGAATCCCTCAAAAAACAATAAGCTAATCTTACTTGATCTTTAGGTTCATACCAGGCATAATGCACAGCGTACCACTTTTCAGCCGAGATCTGGAATAAATCAACATGTAGGAGGTGTATGGTAAGGCCTGGTAATGACATCATGGTATAGTCTCTGGCACGATTCGCCTGCATCACAGTCGCTTTATTTTCAAGAAGGTTTTCGGAGGATTTTTGAATAAATGGCGGGTTGGAAAAAATAAAAATGGGCGAATCTCAAATCTCCTCAAAACCTTCAATAAATTAATAAAGCGACTATATACACAGGCTATGGCACGATCAGAAATTGCGGCCAAAGATGAGTTGTTCTTTGTAATGCGACGAGCTACTTTCGAGTGTAAGGTACCGGTCGTTGTTTATTTAGGGGACACCGAAGAGAAATGTTTTTCATTTGGTAAAAATTTTGCTGATTCAACCAAAAAAGCTAGTCAAAAACAAATTTTACCCAACCTCAAATATCAATAAAAAAATAAATACCCACCCCTGGCCAAAAACGTCTGTGACACGAGTTTGATAACTCCTTGTGCAATGTCTGCAGTGTAAAGTTTCATGTTGTCTGTACAGTATTTTCTTTGGAGACACCATTTGCCTCCTGACAAATCGAAAAATAATCAAGATAGTGATCAGTTCTGATTGATTGATTGATTTGCATATTGTATTGACATTGACATTGCTTTTTAGTCTTCAATATTTGAGTGAGTCATGCTTTGGAAATGACAATAAATTTTTATTACTCAACCCTTGAGTTGTTTTGTTTTTCATTTACCCAACCTTTGGCTCACTCAAAATTTTGTTTACCCAACCCTTTTCTCTTCGGTGCCTGGGGGTCAAGACACGCGTGTTTATGTCATGATTGACTGATTGAGCGCTCTTCACATGCGTGAAAAGACTGGGACTCGCCTTCAAGTTTGGCTTCAAAATTCCGGTTGGAGGTATAGCAGTTCCAGTTATATTCATTTCAATTATCAAGGTAAGGAGAAGGCTAGCGGTAACCATTCGGATCAATACAGAGGTTAAGATACCCCGGTTTCGGTGTACGGGTACGAGTAGTGTCATCTTGTTTTACTGATGTCTGTAATTCGATCATACTTTTTCTGCTTTCTTGCAATAGACAATGATATAATGCGAAAAATGTGCACCTTAATTACGAGTAAAGGGACAGACATATATCGACGAAAATATTGCTAACCAAAATCATGCTACTCGTACCCGTACACCGAAACCGGGGTATCTTAACCTCTCTAATGTTCAGCCTAATTTCCGGTCGTGATGATCAAGGATTAAAAACTATAGCAAACGGGACTTTCGACAGGAAGGCTGATCCTTCATTTAACTAGGACTCAGATATAATCAACACCTTCACCGTACCTTAACAGTATTTTCAATTTCATCGCTAATGTCCTTATTACGACTGGGGCAGTAGTTGGGCATATTTTGAATTGTCTTGATACAACTGAAACAAGAAATATTAAAAATTTTAAAGCTAATTGCATTGCACTGTAACGTAAGGTGGGCCACGCTAACAGCTTTCGTACACCTTCATAATTTTAAAAATCCAGGACTTGCAAAAACTTTTTTCTTTCATTCACACACTTGTCAACAAGTTGTCTTCGCACTGCTTGTCACAAATTGTCAACAAGTTTGGAACAAGCTGTTAACAAATTGTAACAACCTTGTTGATGCTATCAGGCTTGTTACAACGTTGTTACAACAAGTCCGATACAGTCATGATATAGCAGTATTGTTACAACCTTGTGTCGTCAACCTTGTAACATTCTTGTTATATTATGACTGTATCAGACTTGTTAGAACAACGTTGTGACAAGTCTGATAATGCCATCAAGCTTGTTACAAGTTGTTAACAGCTTTGTTCCAAACTTGTTACAACAACTGGGAACAAGCAGTGCGAAGACAACTTGTTGACAGCTTGTGAACAGATTTGTAACAACTTGTTTGCAGACTTGTAACAACTTGTGCGTTTTTACGTGTGTACTGGGAGTTTTCCAGTGGTATTTGAAATATCGCAAAAGTGATTTCGCCAGTAAGACGACAAGGTTTTCTGCACCATTAATGATATCGCTCTCAAGTAATACCACTATCGAAAAAGTTCGATATGCTATGCACAAGTAAATTTTATTATCAATCGCATTTAAATTTTAAAAACATTTTAATTTTTTCTTTGAAATTCTAGGCTGGACTTTTCAAGACGTTTCCAAAACTAAAATGAAAACTTCAGGATTTTCCTGGATTTCCAGGGGTGTGGCTCTTCCAAGTTTTTATTTTTGGGGCAACTAATTAATAATTTGTGAAGTCACAATTCTATAGGGATTCCCCGGTCTACATGCTCTCCCTAAAGAAAAATGTGAAGGTTTTAATAAATCATCATTCAACCGAGTGTGAAATATTGATTTCCAAATAAACCTCCATAGATTATATGAGTAGACATATAGAGGCAGACACAGACAAAAAACTTTTGAATAAAAAACGGTACTTACTGCAACATGTTTTTCAAACGTGATAATTTTGCTGATTTAGTGGCTGGATATAAAGATCTGTGATTATTTATTAAACGAAGACAATATTCCACGAAAGTATCCAATGATTGATGAAATGTTTCTTCCTGGAAAATCATTAGATAAAACAATAAACAAAATTTAGTGATTATACCCTTACTGGACCTCTAAGACTAAGGAGAGCAGTAAAGTTAGTTAATTAGTTTAGGTTTCCCTCTGTATTATTAACACTGGATCAATAAGAGTTGATCCTTACTGCACCTCTAGGGAGACCAGTTTAGAACTGATAGAGCTATCCCAAAACTGATAGAGCTAGGTTTCCTCCTGTAGTATTATCAATAAGGCACGACTCCTACTGGATCTCCAGAGAGAACAGTCTAGAACCGATAGAACTATATCCAGTATGAATAAAGTTACATTAGTTTATAGGTTTCCTCCTAAAGTAACCCTGGATCAATAAGGGATGGCTCTTACTGGATCTCTAAAGAGAACAGTTTACAACTGATAAAGCTATCTATAGTATAAATAAAGTTTAGTTTAGGTTTCCTCTTGTAGTAACACTGGATCAATAAGATCTCTAGAGAGAACAGATCAGAACTATAATAGAGCTACCCAATACAAACAAAATTAATTGTTTAGCTTAGGTTCCTCTTGTAGTAACACTGGACTAATAAGAAGACCTTTACTGGACTTCTAGGGAGAACAGTGATAGTAGACACTCACATCAGCAAGACTGAGTCCGCCCGTTTTCCAGTTGTAAGCAATACTTGATAGCAGTTCTTCCAAGAACGAATATTTCAAAGGCTTTGTCTGATGATATGCGCTGTACACTTCCCACTCACTATATGGACAGGCACACATACATTATTTTGTGAGATCAATTTATCCTACATACTTCCTTGCTCTGAGCTGTTGGTGGTACAGTACACAGTAAAACCTCGCCGATATAAGAACCTAGATTTTTCCGAATTAGCCTAAACAGGTTCTTATGTACCTGGTGCTTACCAGAAAATTGGGCTAAACAGGTTCTTAAATACGTTGATTTCCTTAAGAAAAAAGCGACTCAGTTTTGGAATAGTTGTGGTATATAATTTATATAAATTATGCACAAATGATCTAACAGTCCATGATGCTGGAAGACCTTGCTTACAGTTACTAGTAGTTGCGATTGTCAGGTAGTATTTTCACTGAAGAAATACAATTATTTGTTGTTGTGTTCATGTAGACTTGTTATTTATCTGAATGGCATTTCCAGGGTTCTGGGTCATTTTCATTACTTTGGGAAGAGCTTATTTTATTCGATTTACAAATGTTTAGTTTTGACTCTATTTGATAAAATATTAAGAACCTGCTTTGAAATCCTACCCTAAACAAGTTCTTATTTAAAGGGGGTGTATAATTAATAAAAATGTTATCAAGGTTCTTAAATTATCGGTTCTTATATGCGGGGTTCTACTGTACGTTATAATTTTAACGATTCTTCCAAATAAGACCATAAAAGTATTCCCGCCATGTCACCTTTAAGATCTGACAGAGTTAACCATGACTCTCACTTACCAAACAGCTCTCTGTAATAGAGTGATGTTATTTTGAACAACGTATTGATGCAAGATCCAACGAGCAAATCGTGACAACTCTCCACTTGTAAAAACATCATCGAAATCCTGACAGTAAAAAAATAATAGTTGCAAAATGCATGAGCAAATCACCAAA